TGTCTCAATGGACTCCTCCTGGAACTCCTCAACTCAATGGTTCGATCTATGATGGGGTTCACCGAGTTACCGGCATACCTGTGGGGTCATGCACTCCTAACTGCCGTGTATTTGCTGAATAGGGTTAATACCAAAGCAGTTAACTCCACACCTTATGAACTTTGGCACTCCAAGAAACCCACGTTTAAACATATTAGGATATGGGGTTGTCCCGCTTACGTGAAGCGGCTAGTGGGAGATAAGTTGGATACGAAATCCGACCTATGCTATTTTGTGGGTATCCCGATGATTCCATGGGATACGAATTCTACTATGTTTCCGAGGCAAAGGTGTTCGTCTCGAGAAATGCCGTGTTCCTTGAGAAGGAATTTCTATCGGATAGAAAGGGCAGTGTAGTTGATCTCGAAGAAGTTCGAGAACCACAATCTGAAGTTCAAGCACAACAATCAGATAATGAACCAATTCAACAAACCACTAACATACCTCCTGAACCATCGCTGCGTAGATCCGAAAGAGTTCGGAGAGCGCCCGATAGGTTATTCCTCGTTGATGAAGTTGACCAAAGATGTGATCCTAGAACTTTCAACGAAGCTGTATCGGATACAGACAAGGGACATTGGCTTAATGCCATGAAATCCGAAATGGACTCTATGTACTCCAACAAGGTATGGACCTTGGTAGATCCACCCGAGGGAATTGTTCCCATAGGCTGCAAGTGGATCTATAAGAAGAAAATTGGAGTAGATGGAAAGGTATCGACCTACAAGGCTAGATTGGTAGCGAAGGGTTATACTCAAAAGCAAGGTGTTGACTATGAGGAAACCTTCTCTCCAGTTGCTATGCTTAAGTCCATTAGGATTTTGCTGGCCATCTCTGCGTGGTATGACTACGAGATATGGCAAATGGATGTGAAGACCGCTTTCCTTAATGGGGACATTGAGGAAGAAATTTACATGGCGCAGCCGGAAGGCTTCATATCTTCTGGAGATGAGCAAAAGGTTTGCAAACTTCAGCGATCCATTTATGGATTGAAACAAGCATCCCGTAGTTGGAACAAAACGTTCGACACAACTATCAAAGAGTTTGAATTTGTGAAAAACCCGGAGGAACCTTGTGTCTACAAGAAGGTTAGTGGGAGTGCAGTGACTTTCCTTGTACTTTATGTTGATGACATACTACTCATTGGGAATGATGTAGGGATGTTGCAGTCGACTAAAGTATGGTTATCCACACGTTTCTTGATGAAGGATTTGGGAGAAGCATCCTACGTATTGGGAATACGGATCTATAGAGATAGATCGAGGAGATTGCTTGGCTTGTCCCAATCCATGTGCATAGACACCGTTCTTAAACGGTTTAGCATGGAAGAATCAAAGAAGGGATTCTTGCCAATGTCCCATGGGGTTCGTCTCTCGAAATCCATGCGTCCTCAAACGCAAATGGAAATCGAGGAGATGAAAAGGACACCTTATGCATCCGCTATAGGAAGCATAATGTATGGCATGCTATGTACACGACCTGATATTGCGTATGCTGTGAGCGTCACAAGCAGATATCAGTCTGACCCCGGCCCAACCCATTGGAAGGCTGTGAAGGACATTCTCAAGTACTTGCGAAGAACTTGAGATTTGTTTTTGGTCTATGGGGATACCGAGTTGAAAATAGAAGGCTTCACGGATTCTAGTTTTCAATCGGACGTGGATGACTCGAAGTCAAACTCGGGGTATATATTCAAAGTCAACGGGGGTGCCGTGTGTTGGAAGAGTTCCAAGCAAGGCACAACGGCTGATTCCACCACCGAGGCTGAATATATTGCAGCATCAGATGCTTCAAAGGAAGGGTCATGGATTAGGAAATTCATCCAAGAGTTGGGTGTATTTCCGAACGCTAGCGATCCAGTACGGCTGTACTGCGATAACAACGGAGCCGTAGCGCAAGCTAAGGAACCAAGAGCTCATCAGAAGTCGAAGCACGTGTTGAGAAAATACCATGTGATCCGAGAGATCATAGAGAGAGGTGAAGTCAAGCTAGACAGAGTCACCTCGGAGGACAATATTGCAGATCCCTTCACCAAGCCATTGTTAGGATCAGTCCACGAGAAACATCGAGAGTCGATGGGACTTAGATTTATGAGTAGTTGGCTTTAGGTCAAGTGGGAGATTGTTAGAGTAGGTGACCGGCAAGCCAACTTGTGGCTGTGGTCTTTCTCTTTTCTTTGTAATAAAACAATCGTTTTTCGTTCGTAATAATAAAATATCTTATTTGGCATTCTATATCTGTTATCCCGTGCAAGCAGCATAGATATAGTCCTAACGAGTTACTCTATTACTGTGAGTTGATCTAGTAGAATCGTGAGATAACTCAGCAATGTAATGTAACTGTTAAACCTTGTTCCTAGTCGATGGGTTACGCCAATAATGAGGATACCGGCCTTTCCCTTTTGAGACTAGCACTTAGTGAATGTGTACTGCGTCTCATCAGTCCTCGGTGTTGTGACATCGGCATACTTGAGTGGGTGCTCATACTGGATGAGTTCACTGAACTCCCTCGCCCTAGAAATCTAAGATATAGTTGTACACCATTAGTCCTTAAGACCCAGACATCACCGTGACTTCACTAGAGGACCGATTGTATCGTGACCTGTCCATGAGTCCCACCGCGGACCGCTCCAAGGGCCAACGTTCGTGCGATCCGAAATCTAGTGTGAAGTCTGTGCATTGTAGTAGGGGATTCGAGCGCTTGAGTAGTCATGGATGTCCTGTGTGTTCTGACGGTTTATAATCCATGGAATCTCTGGCCAGAGTTGATAGTGGGGTGATTAGGGAAATGTGTTTCCCTAAGTCGCACACGAACGGATTTATAATACCTAGAACGTTCGCACGGTTATTGAACTTTATAAGAGGTCTCGGTGAACCAATGCCTCTAGTTCAGTCGGGACATGTGCTACGAAGGGATCGTACTGTACGCTAACTATATCATAAGGTTCTTGCAGGCACTTCATTTGTATCTAGGGAATCATGATGCGTAGTTGCTAGACGCCAATCTTGATTCGTTGGGCACCGATTTGATCGGGGATTAGGTAAAATGAGTTTTACTCTAATCGGGACTCTTGGGAGGAGTTCGTATAAGAACAATGTGTTGTTCGAATCACAAAGAGTTGTGAGCCCACGGCTAGCATACACCTGAACCATTGAGGGTCACACTTCTCGTGTAACATGGATCCTTGATAACAAGAAGCATAGATTAATATGTTAATCTTTGCAAAGTTGGAGGTCAATATGATTGAGTCCAAGATTCGTGATTGTGGATCACGAGTCGGAATTAACGTAGAGAAAGAGAGAAATGCGGAATTTAGTGAACTTTCTAAATTAGGAAGTTTCCCGATTTAGCAAGTCCACTGAAGTGGAAGTTTCCAATTTTGGAAATTGGAAATTTCGAAGAGGCACTCGTATCGACGAGGACTTTGAGCTCGTCACAAATATAATTTTGTTATAATTTTGTGGACGATCGTTTATTAAAAACGAGGCCGACGAGGGAATGGGCTTAATGCATCAGTGGGTCAAGCCCAATGACTTAAGCCCACTAGGGTTTAAAACCCTAAGTATAAATAGACCTCAAAAGGAGTTTTGAGATCATATTTTTAGCACCAAAACCCTAGCCGCTCAGCCCCCCTCTCGGCCGTTGCATCTCCGCCGCGCCACCGCCATCCGCCGCCGGAATCCGCCGGTTTTTCCCTCTCCTTTCTCTATCGTATTCCCTTGTTATCTAACCCCTTTGTATCTAGTGCTACAGTAGGGGGAGATCCGTTTATTCGAGGTGAAACCTAATTGGAGAGGAGCTGCTGCCCCGACGGAATCGCCGCATCGCCGCTGCACCGCCCACGCGCCGCCGCCGTCGTCACGCACGCGCCGCCGTCGCCACACCTTCGGTCCAGCTGCCGTTTGGTGGTGTTCTTGCAGCCCCTAGGAGTGGTATAACACAGCTTGTACGTGTCTAAGTTTGGATTTCGATTCGTCGAAATCTCACGCTACAAGAGGTAAATTAATCGAAACTATCGTAAATTAATTCGAACATGTTTGTATGAATTGTAATTTATGATTATGAGTAATACGTGATTACATGTTTCGATTTTATTGAATGATGAATAAGCATGTTTCGTAATTTTCGGTTTTATGTATTTTTTAATTAAATCGATAATTACCATATGTATGGCGGAAGCGTTAAGGTACGTTGACTATGTGATTAGTTTTGCATGTAATCGAAACTAGTTCGATGAAAAATTTTAAATTCCGCTGCGTATACATGCACGATCCCCAACAGATTAGAGGAGACCTACACGTATGTGTGATGGGTGATCCAGGAGTTGCAAAAAGTCAACTTCTCAAATATATAATCAACGTCGCACCGCGAGGTGTGTATACGACTGGGAAAGGAAGTAGTGTAGTTGGTCTAACTGCAGCTGTTCAAAAGGATCCAGTGACAAACGAGATGGTCTTGGAAGGAGGAGCTCATGTAAGAGTCCTTGCACGACTCCCTCCAATTTTTACCTTTCTTTCACTTAAGGTGAACATACAAGCATCACTGTTCCAATCGGTTGCATCAGGTACTGGCGGATATGGGCATATGTGCAATCGATGAGTTTGACAAAATGGACGAATCAGATCGCACGCCAATACATGAAGTAATGGAGCAGCAAACTGTCAGCATTGCTAAAGCTGGTATCACCACTTCTTTGAATGCACGAACTGCTATACTTGCTGCCGCTAATCCAGCCTGGTACAAAATTCACAAACTCTCGGTTTTCATTTTGAAATTCAAACACATTCATTTTATCGCAATTTACCTGTTTCAGTTTTTCCTAATGCTAAGTTTGATCACTTTTAATATCTTTTTTTTTAAATAAATAAATCAAGGGGGAGATATGATCTAAGGAGAACGAACACCAACTGAGAATATTAATCTACCACCTGCTCTTCTGTCAAGGTTTGATCTCTTGTGGTTGATTCTCGACCAAGCAGATATGGATACTGATCTTGAAATGGCTCGCCATGTTCTCCATGTCCACCAGATGAAGGAATCTCCAGACCTCGGGTTTACTCAACTCGAACCTTCTGTTCTTAGGTAAAATCTTACCTCAAAGATTTTACTTTCTGAATAACTTGGTGAATGATTTTGCATGATCTGATAAACTGTTGTCATTAATTGTAGGGCGTATATTTCTGCTGCAAGAAAACTGTCTCCTGTTGTTCCAAGGGAGTTGGAGGAATACATAGCAAGTGCGTATTCTAGTATACGGCAGGAAGAGGCGAAATCAAATGCCCCTCACTCTTACACAACAGTCAGAACCCTACTTAGCATTCTTAGGATATCTGCTGTAAGTGCTTATATTAATTAATATCCTATTGACTATTATTCTTCTTTGATGGAGAAGCAATTGATTACTAATCGATATTAATCTTTTTCAGGCTTTGGCAAGACTCAGATTCTCCCACAGAAGACTTGGGGGTGTATATGTCAGGTAATGAGTTTGATCAAAAAAACACCGAGAAACAGGTAATGAGTTTGATGCTGCTGGCAGTTAAAAAACACAAGTGACCAATCTGAACAGCAGAATTGAGGGGCTTGAATCTAAGAACAAGATATGGAGCAGAATCTGCAAACTTTGATTGATTCGACCCTAAAAGAAGAGCGGAAGCCGAATGATGTTTATACAGGCTTTGAAGATCCACAAGAAATAATGCGGGACATCAAAACAAAAAAAACAACTGGTGTGCACAAAAGGACCCGCTCAAAACTGAATCAGACTGAAAAGAAGAATCGTAAATCCGCTGTTTCCGACAAGACACTGGGAAAACGTAAAGATCGTGCACTCAACAACAACCAACCAGAGCCGGTCAAGAAAAAAAGCACAAGGTATTCAAGTTGATGAAGAAAAGGTTCGAGCTATCCAAGAATGGCCAAGTCCGACGAGTGTAGCGAATGTTCGAAGTTTTCATGGCCTTGCTGGTTTCTATAGGAGGTTCGTGAAGGATTTTAGCACTATTACAGCACCAATGACTGAGGTGATTAGGAAGAATGTGTTGTTCAAGTGGGGGGATGAGCAAGAGAAGGCATTTCAATTAATTAACGAGAAGTTAACCAAAGCTCCTTTACTTGCTCTACCGAATTTCGCGAAAACATTCGAGATCGAGTGCGATGCTTTCGGAGTACGCATAGGCGCTATTTTGATGCAAGAGGGACGACCTATTGCATATTTTAGTGAGGAGATGAGTGGGGCAGCCTTTAACTACCCGACTTATGATAAGGAGTTGTATGCCTTGGTTCGAGCTTTAGAGACATGGCAGCATTATCTTTGGCCTAGGGAGTTTGTGATACACACGGATCGTGAATCATTGAAGCACTTGAAGGGACAACACAATATGAACAAGAGGCATGCCTCATGGATGGAATTCATTGAGTCATTTCCTTATGTCTTCAAATACAAGCAAGGTACAGAGTGACGTGGACGAGTCACTTAGGTTAATTCAAATGTCCAAGTTCTCACTGTACTCTGACGACCGTCACAAGTCTGGTCTCGACGCAATTTCTGATATTTATTCTATCCTACGTGACGAAGCTGCAAGATCCAACAAGGTGGATGTCAGCTATGCCCATGCCTGGAACTGGATTTCAAGAAAGGTAAAAAACGACAAATAAATTATATTTATATCAACTTTGAAAAAAGTTGTTCAAGTTTGCTAATAATATGGTGATCGATGCATGTATTGCTTTAATTGGCTGGATATCTAATCATCGAGCGAATCTTGTTGTTAACAGGGATACAGTGTGTTGGGTTTCGGGCACGCGTACGCAGCGGAAAACAAAAATTTTATGCGAATTAAACGAGATTTAAATCACATAAGCACATGCCCGATAATAGATAACAATTAATTGCGTACCTTTGCGCTTCCAGCGAAATTAAAAACAACATACATGCTAATAAATTTAACCGAATTTAAATCAATTAACATGCTCGCAATTTAAACCAAATAACATGCTCGCAACGATTTAATCGATTACACATAATCACATAAAATCATACAAACACAAGCATGAAATCATAGTTTAAATTAAACCCTAAAACGAAACTAGGGTTTCGAGTATTTACCTCTTGACGCGTGAGGTAGGATTGAACGATTCGTCGTGATTACTACGGAAACCAATCCGTAGAATCGGGGCAGCAATGAAGCAGCAGCAGCGGCGGTGTGGCAGCTCACGGCGGCGCGTGTACAGCACGCGCGGTTGTGCGAGGCGGCGCGTGGGGCAGCGTGCGGCTTCGGCTCGTGCGTTGCTCCTCGATTCTTCGATCTACGGTCTTCCTCCTCTCGGATTTCACCTCGTATACTTCGATCTACTAAATCGTGGCACTAGACACGAAGTAGTTAGAATAAAACGGAAAGAAAATAAAGGAGAAAGAATACCGAACAAGAGCCGGCCGAGGAACGGCCGTTTCCGGCGACGGAGCGGCGGAGGTGGGGTGGTGGCGGCCGAGCGGGAGAGGGGCGAGAGAGAGAGCGGCCGATTAGGGTTAGGTTTTCTTGTGTTTGTGCTAGGGTTATAAATCATGTATTTATAGTCCCTAGCATGAAACCCTAGCGGGCTTAAGTTGGACTGGGCCCAACAGCTTAAGCTCGTTAGTTTCTTTAATCGCTCGTATCTCTCAATTCAATGATCGAAAAATTGTAACGATTACAATTTCCGAGTCATTATAATTTTCTCGTCATTACGAGTGCCATCTCTTATTTTCCAACTTTCCAAAAGTGGAAACCCTAGTTCAGCGGACTTTCTAAATTTGGAAACTTCCCGATTTAGAAAGTTCACTAACATGTTCGCTTATTCTTTTCCTTTTCTTATTCTCATTCATAATTCCAAATTACGAATGTTGGACTCAATCATATTGACTTCCAATTATGCAAAGATAAACTATTTTATCTCTGACCGTTTATTCAAAGATCTCATGTGCACGAGCAGTGTGACCCTCGATGGTTCAGGTGTAAGCTAGCCGTGGGCCCACAACTCTTTGTGGTCAAAACTCGTCCCCTTCGAGTTACAATTAAGATGAAGCTCGTTTCACCTTAATCACCCAACGAATCAAGATTGGCGTCTAGCAACTACGCGTCATGATTCCCTAGATACAAATGAAGTGCCTGCAAGAACCTTCAGATATAGTTAACGTACAGTACGGTCCCTTCGATTCATATGTCCCGATTGAACTAGAGGCATTGGTTCATCGAGACCTCTTTATATGTTCAATAACGGTGCGATCGTTCTAAGTGTTGTAATCCTTACGTGCATGACTTAAAGAATCGAATTCTCTAATCATCACTTAGTCAGCTCTGGCCAGAGACTTAGAATGATTACAAACTTTCAGAACACACAGGACATCCAAGACTATTCTAGCGATCGAATCCCCGACTACAATGCACAGACCTCCCACTAGATTTCGGACTGCACGAACACTGGCCCTTGGGATGGTCCTCGGTGGAACTCAGGGACAGGTCACGATACAGCTGGTCCTCTAGTGAAGTCACGGTGATGTCTAGGTCATAAGGACTAATGGTGTACAACTATACCATAGATATCTCTACTCGATTATTGGGAACCACTTAGAGATTTCTAGGGTGAGGGAGTTCAGTGAACTCGTCAACTTACGAGCACCCACTTGCGCATGCCGATATCACAATACCGTTTACTGATGAGATGCAGTACACATACACTAAGTGCTAGTCTTAATGGGAAAGGCCGATATCCTCATTAGTGGCGTAACCCTTCGACTAGGAACACGTTTAACAGTTATAATACTTAAGTAAATATCTCACGATCCTAACGATCAATTACTAGTACTTGTAATAACTGTAAGGACTATATCTATGCTTGTGACAAAGGGACAAAGATATAGAATGCCAATGTGTTTTATCATTAATACGAATAAAGGTTCGTTTATTACAATAATAAATACGAAAGACCACAGCCACAAGTTGGCTTGTTGGTCACCTACTCTAACAATCTCCCACTTGACCTAAAGCCAACTACCCATAAACCGCAATCCCATCGACTCTCGATGTTTCTCATGGACCGATCTTGGTAAAGGCTTCGTGAAGGGGTCTGCTACGTTCTCTTCCGAGGTGACTCGTTCTACCTTAACTTCACCTCTATCAATGATCTCTCGGATCACGTGATACTTCCTCAGAATATGCTTCGACTTCTGATGAGATCGTGGCTCCTTAGCTTGTGCCACGGCTCCGGTGTTATCACAGTACAACGGTACTGGATCACTAGCATCAGGAATTACACCCAACTCTTGGATGAATTTCCTTATCCAAGTCCCTTCTTTTGCAGCTTCGGACGCTGCAATGTATTCCGCTTCGGTAGTGGAATCGGCCGTCGTGCTTTGCTTGGAACTCTTCCAACACACGGCACCACCATTAAGCGTGAATATAAATCCAGAATTCGACTTCGAGTCGTCCACATCCGATTGAAAACTAGAGTCAGTGAAACCCTCTAATTTCAACTCGGTACCCCCATAGACCAAAAATATATCCTTAGTTCTTCGCAAGTACTTGAGGATATCTTTCACGGCTTTCCAGTGAGCCGGGCCGGGGTTAGACTGATATCTGCTTGTGACACTCACAGCATACGCAATATCGGGTCTAGTACATAGCATGCCATACATTATGCTTCCTATGGCAGAAGCATAGGGCGTCCTTTTCATCTCCTCGATTTCACTAGGTGTTTGGGGACACATAGATTTCGAGAGACGAACTCCATGGGACATTGGCAAGAATCCCTTCTTGGATTCTTCCATGCTAAACCGTTTCATAACGGTGTCTATGTACAGGCTTTGGGACAAGCCAAGCATCTTTCTTGCTCTATCTCTATAGATGCGTATTCCCAATACGTAAGATGCTTCTCCCAAATCCTTCATTGAGAAACGTGTGGACAACCATGCTTTCGTTTGCTGTAACATTCCTACGTCATTCCCAATGAGTAGAATGTCATCAACGTAAAGCACTAGAAATATTACTGCCCTCCCACTAACCTTCTTGTATACACAAGGTTCCTCCGGATTCTTCTCAAAATCAAACTCTTTGATAGTTGAGTCGAATCTAATATTCCAACTACGGGATGCTTGTTTCAATCCATAAATGGATCGCTGGAGTTTGCAAACCTTTTGCTCACTTCCAGAAGATATGAAGCCTTCCGGCTGCGCCATGTAAATTTCTTCCTCAATATCTCCATTAAGGAAGGCGGTCTTCACATCCATTTGCCATATCTCGTAGTCGTACCACGCAGCTATGGCCAGCAAAATCCTAATGGACTTCAGCATCGCGACCGGCGAAAAGGTTTCCTCATAGTCAACACCTTGCCTTTGAGTGTATCCTTTTGCTACCAATCTAGCTTTATAGGTCGACACCTTTCCATCTACTCCAATTTTCTTCTTATAGATCCACTTGCAGCCTATAGGAACAA